AGTCTTGGAGTTGTCAGGAATTAAAGAGGCAAACACAACCAGGGACTGGACTATCAGTCTTTCAGCATGAGGGTTCCATTTCCATGCTGGCCCCGCAGAAACAGAAGGGGTCCAGTGTGAACTAGAACCTTCAGCAGTGCTTTCCAGACTCATTGTTATGAGTCTCCTGGTGGAAGTCCACACCACCACCCATGAAGCCATTATGCCCAAAAGTCAAAGCTTAAATTCATCAAGACTCCAGAGCAACTGACCAATTTAAAAGAAAAACAGGGGACAGAGGAACATGACAAAAATCACCAGAGGGTTGCAGTCAGCCAAAACGTACCATTCCGTAGGCTGTATTTCTTCAACAATAACAACAAAAAAGGCAAGGGGAAAAAAGAGAGATGGCAGGGGAATCTACAAATTAAGAGAGTTCAGAGACATATCACCCAACTGCAATATAAGGATCTTATTAAGATCCTGATTAGTACAAATGAATTGAATTTTTTTTGGTATAACTGGAGAACACAGACTAGAACTGGGTGTGGTGGCTCATGCCTGTAATCCCAGCACTTTGGGAGGTGGAGGTGAGAGAATAGCCTGAGCCCAGGGATTTGAGACCAGCCTGGGCAACTTGGCAAGACCTCTACAATAAATCAAAGAATTAGCCAGGCATAGTGGTACATGCCTATAGACCCAGCTACTTGGAAGGCTGAGGCAGAAGGACTGTCTGAGTCCAGCAGGTAGAGGCTGCAGTAGCCATGATCATGCCACTGCACTCCAGCCTGGGCAACAGAGTGAGACTCTGACTCTAAAAAAAAGAAAAAGAAAAAAAGAACATAGACTGGACAGTAGATGATATTAAGAAATTGCTGTTAATTTGTAGATGCTGTACTGGTATTATGAGTACATATTAGCAAGAAATATCGAAACATTTATGAAAGAAAGAATAAGATGGCTTAGATATGCATCCAAATAATGAGTTGAAAAGTAATTAAGCAGAATATAAATGAAGCAAGAATGACCTTGAGTTGACTATTAGTGAGGCTGAGTGATACATACATAAGGTTTCATTATACAATTTTCTCTGCTTTTACATATATTTTAAATTTTCCACTTCTATTTAAAGTGAGTGATAGGTTAGGAGGGGATATTCACAATATATAACAAAAGAGGATAAATAAAGAACTGCTACAAATCAGAAAGAAAAACCTGCAGTTCAATAGGCCAGGTTTCTTCAACAATAACAACAAAAAAAAAGGTGGGGAGAGAGAAGGGAAGGGAAGAGATGAAAAGAGACATATTGCCCAACTGCAATATACAGACTTACAGCATACTTAGATCCACATATTACAAATGGATCCAGTAGGAAAATGGGCCAAGTCACAGAAGTAGAAGCCAAAATGGGCAACAAGGAAATGAAAACATGGGCACCCTTACTTCTGACCAGGGAAATGCAAGCTAAAACCATCTTACACAAAGAAAGGGGGAAGGTGTGAGTGGACAAACACAAACTGCTTTTTCTCTATTCTCACACAACAACAATTGACACAGAAGACTTCTTCTGACCAAACATATAGGGCTCTCTCTCGCCAACAAGCAATCAGTTCTGCAGAGGACACCAGCTGGGTGTCCTCCAATTCAATTCGGCCACCATCTACCTGGAGATGGCATCAGATCCCACAGGGGGAGGGCTTTGTCCCACAAGGCTGCACTCTGCTTTTGATACCAATCATAAGCCCCATGTTCTTTTTACCTGTGCTTCTGATGAAGCTAGAAATCAAGGACCTTATGAATCCCTTCTTGGGTTCAATTAACTTGCTAGAGCATCTCACAAAACTCAGGAAAATGCTTGCTTACATTTTCTGGTTTATTATAAAGAATATTACAAAGGATACCAATGAAGAGATGTGCAGAGCAAGGAACAGGGTAGAGAACTTCCATGTCTTCCCCGGGCACACCACTTTCCAGGAGCCTCCACGTGTTCAGCAATCTGGAAGCTCCCCAAGCCCTCTCTCTGGGCCTTTTATGAAGACTTCATTGGAGAGTCATGATTAGCAACCATGACAAATGTGATTGGACAAAGGGGGCTATGCTCCAATATTAATAGACCAAGTGGGAAACCCAGAAGGGCCTGTCTGTTCAGCTCCTTGGCCCATTTGTGCAGCATTCCTTCCTCCAGGATATGGGGCAGGCCTCCTTCTGAAATGGGGGTCTGTCCAGTCAGACAGGATAGGTTGGATAACTTCTTCATGGATGATTACAGTTCTGCCTTGGGGAGGAAAAGGAGCAGGTGAAGGAGGGAGGAAAAGCCGAGCCGGAAAAGGACAGAGAGAGGTTCTGGGTCTGAGATCTAAAGTGCCCTAATGTTATAACAAGAGCTATTGAAGTTACAAGCCAGGAACTGTGAACAAAATTCTATTTATATATAAGGTGGAGGGCTCCCCAAAACTGAAATTATCTTGTGGAGGGCAGGCCCCTTATAGTAAGGCTTCCCCTACTACGTAAGTGTTTTGGGAACCCATGGGCATCAGTGTACCAGCTAGCGTTGTTGTGAGAGGCTGCATTCAGCTTCAGTGAATTGTTCTGGAGATTCTTTCAATGTGTTTGTCTATCTCGTGATGGGTGATTTACGAGCATACCTGCCTTTACCATGCTGAGTATTCAGCAGTTTTTGACCAAATACAGTATGATCCCTGTGTTCCACCCTCCCTATTCACCAGATCTCATCCTGAATGACTTTTTTTTGTTTCCCTGCATGAAAAAGGTCCTCAAAGGGAAACATTTTGCCAATATGGAAGAGGTGAAACAAAAAACATCAAAAGCACTAAAAGGCATTAAAATTGACCAGTTCAAAAACTGTTTTGAGCATGTTGATAGGTGTATTGCATCAAATAGAGTGTACTTTGAAGGTGACTGGAGTTTAAACATGTAAGAGTAAGTACACGATTTTTAGAAATAAATTCTGGGTTTTGGGGGCTCCCCCTCGTATATCATAATATCACAGCAGGGATATAAGAGCACTAGCAGGAACTCTTACGCACTGACGGAGGGATCAGAATTAAGTACATTTACTTTATAATATGATGAAACTCAGTAAAGTTGAAGATGCCATACTCTAAAACTTAGTAATTTCATGCTTAGGCATTGACATTGAAGAAACACTTGTGTAATGGACCTAGGAAGTGATAGCAGATGGTTGCTAACATCACAAAAAGAGAGACAGCAGATATAATGCATCTCTTGATAGAAAACACCACTCCAATAACCGAGTCAGTTTATCAGCAAAATTAAAAGCAAGTTCAAGCCTCTAGATTCAAATGCCAATTTAAAGAAATACAGGAAATGGAGGAACGTATCAAATAATGCTACAGGGATGCAATCAGCAAGATTAAGGTGGTGGAAAAACTCTATAAGGCAAACTCAGTGCCTTTAATAAACACATAGAAAAAAACAGATGTTAAGAGATGAGGGAAGACTCTATAGATGAAAAGAAGTATAAGACAGCAGTCAAATTCATAGAGACAGAGAATAGAGCAGTGGTTGCCAAGGGCTGGGGGAGGGGATGAGGAGTTAGTGTTTAATGGGGACAGAGTTTCAGTTGGGGATAAAAAAGTTCTGAAGACAGATGGTGGTGATGGTTGCACAATATGTGAATGTACTTAATGCCACTGAATTGCACACTTAAACATGATTAAGATAGTGAATTTTATGTTACGTATAGTTTAACATAATTTTTAAAATTTAAAGAAAAATAATCATAGGGACATATCAACCAATTATAATGTGTGGATCTCATGTGGATCCTGAGTCCAAAACACTATGAAAATTATGAGAAAACTGGAAGTTTGACTACTGACATATTTAATGACACAAAGGAACTACTGGTAATGAGGAGCAATAATATGTTTACTTATTTTTAGAGACAATACTAAGATGTCTATACATAAAGTAATATCCAGTACTTGATTCAAATGATACAGGAGGAAGAAGTTGATATAGACAACTTGAAATCAGATTGGCCATAACTGAAAATAGTTGCAACTTGACCATGTATGCCAAAGAGTGCAATATATCTATCTGCATACCTTGGTGCTTAACACTTTACATAACAAAGAGGTTTTAAAATGAAGAATTTATTATATACATGGACAAAAGGACAAGTATTAGAAGCTTATGACATCATGGTTTGTAATAGCAAAATACTGGAAACAAATTAAATGTCCATAAACACACAACTGAATAAAAAAGATCACGGTATTTCACTTAGCAGAGAACTACATAGACAAAAAAGAGAATGTTGAATCAACAGAGCTCAGCCATGGGTGATTCTGCCTGGTTCTGAAAACCAAGAGGCATGTGACAACACCTGGAGACATTTGTGGTTGCCACAACTGAGGGCGGTGAAGCCACTGGGCTCAAGTGGGTGGAAATGGGGGACGCTGCTCAACATCCCGCAATGCTCAGGACAACCCTAGAACAAAGAATTATATGACCTACAATATCACCAACGCCACAGCTGAAAACCAAACATGAGGATGTATGTGGGATACTCCTCAAGCCATAATAGTGAATCAAAAAGAAACAAAAACAAGTGGCAAACAGATATGTATAAGTTATACCCTGTGGGGAAAGGTTAAGGACACAAAAGAGAAACTGTTTACTGCTCATGGAAATTTATTTATGAAGCAAAGTATGAAAATATGGAGGGGAAAACTATATGCCAGTTTCAGAATACAGATTACTAGAGGGAGGAATATGAAAAATTGTTTCAAACAAATTTCTAAATTTTGTTCTTCTCCCCCTCCCATCCAAACAACAGCACACATGGCAGAGGTTAAGGCAGATAAAACTGGCCAGTGCATGCACTGCTGCTTACTGTTTCAGGCTCTGTGCTTTTCCCTGCCCTGGACATCACTAACAACGAACAGACTAAGCAGTGGGGCTGTGGGCAGGCTAGTGGACAGAAAGAAGGAGGGCAGATGGCAAGGCTGAGGCTGTCCTATGGGAGCACTCACCGGTCCCCGGAGATCAATGAGTTCCTGTCTCATCTGGGACACGAGGGTTTCCTTGGCCACCAGGGCCCTGTGCAGGCGCTCGTTGAACTCAATCAGCTCGCCGTGCATCTCTGCCACCTGGAACACAAGTGCCAAACAGTGAGGCTCAGAAGCACACCACCCTCCCCAGGTCTGGTCCTACCTTCCCTGGACCTTCCTTCCAGTTACTTGTCAGTAAGGCATCGGCAGTTCGCTGGGGCCAAAGATGACAACACTGCTTACCTATGAGCCATGTAATCCATACGTATGGGGAACATGTTTTGACTTGCTTGATTTTAACACTTAGGAGTCAAAGATTTGAAGTTTATGATCAGAGAAGGACTACATCAGGACATTTTTGGACCTCAGGCTTTTATTCTTATTAATGAACATTTTTCTAGAAAGGCTTTCTTTCTCATCTGAGCTATACCTGTTACTGGTATCACGAGAGTACTTTAGACCATTCTGTTCCTTAAGTCCTTGTTTCTGAAAACCAAGAAAACAGAGCCAGAACCTCATCAAGGATAGTGACAACAATGCTGACAGAAAAAACCATGGCAGCACAACTACCCTTCAGTCCCTGTTTATTCTACATTGGGATAAATCCTTCCTGTGCACTCTTCAGATCTTCACCACACCAGCTCTCTGAGGCAGATGTCATTATTCCCAACTTACAGAAAGAGAAATAGTGTCCTAGGAATTAATGAGCTTGCTCAAGGTCGTATGGCTAACAAGGGACACTCTCCAGAGTCCTGGCTGTGTGCTATGATCCTACCACTCTCTGCTGTGCCCGGATGCAACCCATTTGGACCTGCTGTGAGCCACTGAAATTTTCTAAATTGAATTATTCAATATTCTCAGTTAATTCCCAATAGATCAAAATAGAGGTGACTACACACAGACTACTCAAGAAAAATTTATGTAGGCATTTAAGAGAAATGTGAGATGTAACCCTGCTCTTCAAGAACCCATGAATGAAGAATCTTCCAAGCAGCTTAAAGACAAGTCCACAGAATATGAGATTAAGAAGACCCTCACCGGGCTCCTGGCCCCCTGCCCTTTCTAAGAGATCACCCCTCCTGCACCCTAGACTTGACCTAAGCACATATCACACCATATGCTGTGCAGAAATAATACTAGGCCATTTGTAGAAAGTGCTTTCCATGAGATATAGTCTGAAAAAAGAAGGAATATAGGGAGAAGTCTTTGTGAAAATAAGGAGAGTCACTAACCTAAGTCTTACCTCGGGGGAACAAAGCAGAGCCCCCATTCTTTCTGCTGTTAAATAAAGAATAAGACAGAAGAAAAGGCACCAGGATATGATGATTCATCAAGGAATATGTTTCCTTCTTGTTCTCTCTATTTTCCTCATTTAAGTTCCCATTCAGCAGTGAGAGAAAAACGCTTAGATTCTAAACTTTAAAGAACGACATTCTCAGCCGGGCTCTGTGGCTCAGCCTGTAATCCTGCACCTTGGGAGGCTGAGGTGGGTAGATAGCCTGCACCCGCGGGTTCGAGACCCGCCTAGACAACTTGGTGAGACCTCATCTCTACAATAAATCAAAAAAATTAGCGAAGTGTGGTAGCGTGCCTGTAGTTCCAGCTACTTGGAAGGCTGAGGCGGAAGGATCGCCAGAGCCCAGCAGGTCAAGGCTGCGGTGGCCGGGAGCGTGCCACTGCATTCCAGTCTGGGTGACAGAGTGAGACTCCAACTCAAAAAAAAAAAACAAAAAACAGAACGACATTCTTCACCTGAAATAAAAGGGAGTCATTGTGCAATCAACACGAAATGCATCAGGCTCCTAATTGTCATCTGGTGCTTCCATTAACTTGCTCTGTAAGCTCCCACTCAAAACAGCACCCCCTCTGTCCCAGAGGTCCTGACCTCTTTCAAGCTGGTGTGAAATACTAAGTAGAAACAGCACAAAAGACACTGCAAGAATTGTGCAATTAACAAAGGAAGAATAAGTCACTGAGCCCTTTCATCAGCCTTTTCCTTTGTATGGAACTAAAATTAATATTCCTCAGTTGCCTTATTCTTTAAGGATAAGAAAAGCTTGAGTTGATCTTCCTATGGCCTTTCACAAACAAATACAATATCACTAATAATGCCTGTGTGAATCCTCCACATGGAAATCACACAAACACTCCCACCCCCACCGAGCTTCCTGAGGTGGGGAAGGGCTATGACTCCATTTACCACACAGCTGCCTATATCACTGCTAATGACCTGTTCATGTGTCCCCACAAAACATGAGCTTTAAATAAATACCACTGTCATTTGCAAAGCAAAGCAGGATTTTGTGTTTTGTTTTTGTTTTTGTTTTGTTTTGCAGTGGGAGCCAGAGTGTTACAGCAATTTTCCATAAATGCATAAAACATCAAAATATTCCAGCTCCAAGTGGTGTTTATCATAAGTTGTCAAAACCCTGGTTCTCTTTTGCAGCCAGAAGAGTAGGACTTGATCACATCAGACAAATCTTTCATTTCACTAGGAAATGAAAAAGAAAAATTCGATGCAACTCCGGAGACAAAATCTGATAAATAATTTTCAGCAATCATTAAAATGACGATATTCATTGGACTAAGCTAACCCCTGAGTTCTTATATTCCCTACCTCTACCTACAGCCATTGATATAAAAAGCTTTCATCTTACATAAACCATACTGAGCTTACTGTTCCTTGAATAACTATTTCCAAATTCCAGTATAACTGGAAATAAACTCGAGACTCAGAAAGAGCCCCAGAAAAAGAAAGCAAGTTCACAAATAGTTCTGTTATCATCAAAATAAAAGTTGGCTGCAGAACGACTGCCTCTTGAAATTTTTCTGAAGTTTTGAGGGCACTTACAGGTCTTACCTGACCTTCTTATTTTCAACTGAGAATGCCAGGAAATAGGGTACAGAGAGAACAGATGCCCTCCAATCCACAGGTCCCAAGCAGGCAGTGTATTTTTCCCAATAACTTCTAACATCGTCACCTGCTCTTTAATATGCTCAATGCTTTCACTGCCCTGAGGATAGCATCCAAACTTCTTTGAGAAGTGGTCCCAGCCTCTCTCTCCAACCCCATCTCTCCCTTTTGGCATCTCACTAGCTCATTCAGCCCCCACAATCCTTAAACATATGAGCTCCAGGTCACCTGAAGACAAGGAGTGAGGTATGTCCCATGGAAGAAACTGCAGGTGCAAAGGTTTACACCAGAGGTTGCCAGGTAAGAGGCTGAGAGAGGTGGTTAATGTCTCAGGCTTTGGTGCAAGACTGGTGCAAGATGGGCATCAGAAACCTCGTGCGCCTCACTGGGTCACTGTGAGGATGACAGCAGAGGCACGTGCTCAAGGCACATCTGGAGCAGAGCATGTGCTCAGGGGATGAGAGCTGGTTTCATGTGATGGATGATCATGAAAGGAGACATGGAGGAGGCAGCAGATGGGTAGATCTGCAGAGGCCAGATGGAAAAGAGCCTCCATGTGCTGCACCAAGGAACTTGGACAGCTGTGAGGAGACACACTCACTGTCTCCCAAGCAAGAACATCAGAGTTGCTAACCACCTACCTGCTAGGCATGGTGATTGGTGCTAGGGATGCGGGGAAAGGCGAGTCCCACACAGTTCACATCCTTGGGCATTTGGTAAATTATGATAGAATGACTTGGAGAGAAGATAGCGTTGTGAGGGGAGACTTCTCTAAGAGACAACATTCCGAAGTCACTTGTCTAATGGGCCCTGGCACATGCACAGCAGACTCCTATGGCAACCCATGCCCTAAATCCCCATCAGGCACTTGCTATGTTCTGACACTCAGAAGCAGTTTAAGACTCTGACATGTTTCTTTCTGCCCTCATTTGTTATATTCCCTGAAAATTAGTCCGCAGGAAATTAAGGAAGCTGTTTTCTGGCCCCTAGTTTACACTGCCAGTGGGGAGGGAGCTGGAACTTCTTTCTGTGATAACTACAGTGCACCTGCCTAGTTAAGAACTAACCTAGACAGTGCCCACACTGCCTTAACACACTCCAGAGCACCCAACTATGTGCCAGGCCTCTTACAGGCGTTTGGTCCACCAGTTCATGTAATCCTTGCAACCTTCCTGCAGGGCAAGCATGTCTTCCTTGTCAATGAGGTCACTGAGGCTCAGAGGGGTTGGGTTATAAGCCTAAAATGTCAGGGTTAGGAAGTGACAGAACAGGGATTTGAACTCATGCCTTGATGGTGCTAATAGCTGTGCTCGTTGCACTCCATCTTGGTGTATGGTAGAAAGCTGACCCCTTTGGTGGTTAAGAAAGGTAAGTTTGAGGTGGCAGGATCACTTAAGGCCAACAGTATGAGACCAGTATAGTAAGACCCTATCTCTAAAAAAAAAAAAGTTTGCCAATTGTGGTGGCACACACCTGTAGCCCCAGCTACTAAGAAGCTGAGGCAGGAGGATCACTTAAGGCCAGGAGTCTAAGGTTGTAGTGAGCTATGATCGTACTACTAAATTCCAGCCTGTATGAGAGAGTAAATGCCTGTCTCTCCAAAAAAATTAGCCAGGCATGGTGGCCCACACCTCTAGTCCCAGCAACTCAGGAGGATCACTTGAGCCAAAGATATTGAGGCTGAAGTGAGCTATGATCATGCTACTGCACTCCAGCCTGGGTGACAAAGTGAGACCCTGTCTCAAAGGAAAAAAAAAAAAAAAAGAAAGATAAGTTTGACCCTCAGAGTAGAGGGAAATAGCATGGTACAGACAAATGGCTCCTAATCCAAGCTGATCATCAGTCACTTAGAGGGTTTCCAAAAAATGCAGATTTCTGGCTTCAGCCCCAGAAATTCAAATTCAGTGGATTGAGGGGAAGGAATTCAAGGAAGTACTTTTTAAAGCCACCATGTTTTTTTTAAATCCAGTCCTGCTTCAATGAGCAACATGGTTGGTTCCATGTTTTTGCTACTGTGAATAGAGCTGCAATAAACATATGTGTGCAGGTATCTTCTTTGTAGAATAATTTGAGTTCCTCCGGGTATATTCCCAACAGGGGAATTGCTGGGTCATACGAAATGTCAATTTCTAGTTCTTTCAGAAATCATCACACTGTTTTCCAGAGAGATTGTACAAGTTTGCAT